GGGGCTCTGAGCACCCTGATGTGGTTGAAGCTGTCCCTGCCCATGGCAGGGGGATGGAGGGGATGGCCTGGAAAGGGCCCTGCCAGCCCAAAGCATCCTGTGGTTCTATGAACCTGGCGGCCCTTCCAGGGGTGACAGAACAGGGTGAGTCTATCTGAATAGCCAGTGCTTAAGAGTGCTTGGTATGAGAAGTGCCTTCAAGTAAGGGACGCACACTGACTTTCCCACACACACCTTATTGTTTCTCAAATGTAGTGATAAGAATTGAATCTGCTGAAGTAAACCCTGGAGCGTTTGCAAAGTGGAAGAACAGTCTCCAACTAGGGAGCAGACCTTCTCGGGAGTTCTCCTTTCCCCCACAGCGCAGCCTCGTGCTTTGCTCAGTCTGGACTGCAGGCTAGTCCCTCCCCGGTGACAGGACTCTTCTTGAGCACCTCGATACCTTCCCCAGTTTAGACTCCACACCATTTGCCGGGGTACGTAGCCATGTGGCTTTCATGTTCGGCAGGAATTTCTTCCTCTTGAAAACATCTAAAATAAAATAGCTTCACTGTCCTTGATGAGGACCAGTCCCTTCTTTCAGCCGAGGCGGACCAGCCGCGTTTGCGTAAGGATTTGCTGCGAGGATCACAGATCTGTCTCGCTTTCCCCCCCTGCCTTGCCCAGCTGATCTGGTCTCATTAGGGATGCAGGGAGCTCCTTGGCTGAAGGTATTGGTGTGCCTGGGACCCCCCTCCTTTTCTCTTCTTGCTTCTCTGAGGTTTGAGTTTCCCTTCTCCTGTCGCAGCTGCTTTCATCGTCCCTTCCCTCTTAGGGTCTGTTGGGCCTGCGGGTCCTGACCGCGTCGCTTCAGGTCTCTCTCTAGGGCAAAAGAGAAGCGGTCGCGTCTGGGATAGCAGAGCACCGGCCTCGGCACCGGTGGGGCAGGGAGAGCGTGCAGGCCACGTCGTGGTGACTGCAGGGCCAGGGGAGGGTCACGATTAACGATTCTATGGTTTCATGAAAGATGGAAACCCAGTAGCGTTGCCACCTGCAGAACAAACTC